CTTCTCCCCGGCTCAGCCGCGCCGGAGCGCGGGGCTGCAGGTCCCCGCGGGCCTCTCTGAATTATTCATCGGCAGGAAGATATTAGATGTACCCGCTCCCCGCTCCGCGCGGGCCGTCGTGCAATGCTATCCGGGCTCCGCGCGCGCCACGCGCCCCTCCTCCTCAAGTCCGTCCTCTCTGAAACCTTGGCAGCCAAGAGGGATCACATTTCCTTTGTCATCGGGCCATTTCGCCCTCGCCTTGGTCCCCCCTCCGATCCCGAGCCGTGGGGACTCGGCTCCTCCCGGGCGCGCTGGGCTCACTGGACGCGGCACCGGCCTCGCGCGCCGAGCTCTGGAGCCGCGTGGCCCAGGATGCCGGCCAGCGCCCGCGTCATCTTCCTTCTGCACCGAGTGGCCGAGCGGGACTCGGGTGGCCCCGCGCGCTGCGCCCTCCGGGCTGGGGTCCTGCGGCGCCCGGCCTCCTGGGGCTCTCGCAGCACCCCCCAACGCGGGCCTCGTGCGCGCGCACCCCCTTTCTCTGCTTTGCCGCCTCTTCCTCCGTCACCACCTCCTCCTCCTCTCTGGACGCCGGTTATTGGGACTGATCGGAATTCGGAATCCTTTTAATCTCCAAAGGAGCAAACTCACTTCCGCCCGCGTGCGGGGAGGGGGCTCGCGGAGGAGCGGGGGAGGGGGCTGCCGGCAAACAGGAAACATTAGCCCTCGCTGCGCGGTCGCTTTTGTGTGCGCCCTCCTCCCCCGACCTCCTCCCTCCTCCGGCCGCTCGGGGGATGACCGCCCCCCGGGCTCCAGAGTGACGACCTTTGAAACCCTCCGAGCAGGGAGAGGAGAGCGACTCTTCCGTTTATTTAAAAAAAAAAAAAAAAACACCCCAAAAGGAAAGATTTCATTCTGAATCCTGACCCCACCGGGGCCGATGGTCCCCGCCCGGGAGATCTCTGGGGTTTCGCTCCAGCATTTTCTTTTTCTTTTTTTATGTTTGCGTCAAGGCTCAGGCTAGCCGTGATCAACACAAAAACACCCCTCCGTGGTGTGTAGGATCAAGCGTATCTGAACTCTGCTTCAGCGGAAGGGTGGGTTGGCGCGTTTAAACTGGGAAGGGGGCAGCTGTTAAGAGCGCGCGCGGGGAGCGAGGTGAGATGGCCCCTCGGCCATCTGGGTGGTGCCAGGCTGCCTGGGGGGCGGGGGGGGAGAGGAACTTGAGAGGCTGTAGAAAGATCCTGCCTTGGAGGGCCGAGAAGTCGCTGACCAGGCTTGTGGCTATCTGGCCTGGAGTAAACATGCAGAATCTTTCGCCCCCGTCCCTACGTTGTCATGGTGTAAATGGCATCTTGGGTTGTACTAACAGTCACATAGCCCAGTGCTACATAGAGCGACCTAAAAGACTCAGACACATCTTGTGGGGAGAAAGAAGATAGACACAAAGGGTACTCCATTTACAGGAAAGTCTAAAAGCCAAACCAGCCTGAGGATAGAAAGAGTCTCCTTGGGGTGATGGGGTATTGATCCGCAAAGGTCGGGAAGGAGCCGTGGACTCATGACATACAGATTCATGGGTAATGTGCATTTGTGAGAACTTGAAAAGTCCGCTGGTTAAAACCTACGGTGTGTAAAGTACACTTCAGGTAAGGGGATGAACAAAACACCTCAGTGTCAGACCTGAGTAACCAAGCCTGGATCCTGAGTGTGGATGAACAGAAGACAAAAAAAAATGAGCTTCCACACTGAAGACGTTCCCAGCGCCGCCTCTGCTTCTGCGAACTGAAATTCAGTGGGTTTTCCAGAGTAAAATCAACCTGGAAGCAGCCCTTAAATCACCCCAGGTGGACAAATTTGTTGAAGGCCCAGGAAGCTTCCTAACGACCCCGGGAGAAAAACCAATCGGGGGGTTGAGAGTGTATGCGGGAGGTGTGCTGAAGAGTGATTTTTTTTACCCAGAGTGACCCAGTCTAACCGAGGAGAAAATTATTCCATTGAGTTTTCTAGGATGCAAATGGTCACCTCCCCACTCCCACCAAGAGCCACTGAGTAGGTTTGAACAGCCAACCTTTGAATTATTAGCCAGGTTCACCATGGTGCCAAATGGACTCCTTGACAATCCCTGGGGAAGCATAAATCCTCTGCTGCCCTTAGGAGTTTTCAGAGCAAAACACACACACTGGGTGTTTACTCGCTATAAATATTGTGTGAAGGATGGAATCTCACCTACAGCCAACAGAAGTGTGTTTCTTGCGTTATAATTTTGTGTTCCACTTGGAAACACAGACACACCCTCATGGATTTTCTCCCACTCTGGCCTGCTCCAGAGGTGTTTAGTGTATTTCTTGCATTTGTTTCTTTGCCTTTCCTTCATTGTTTTTCATTCTCTCTCTCTCCACCTCACCCCCTCTAAACAATAACAAGAGGAAAACAGATGGGAAAGAGAATTGACAGAAGGAAAATGGCCCCAGACCTGCTGTCTCCTTCTTTATTCGACCCCACCCATCAGGACCTAAAAAAGATTTTTTTTAAATTTCACAACTATCCTCCTGATCTTAAAGACTCCACGAGGTCTTGGAAAATCCACCAAACCCTTCACGGAGCAGTAGGAAGACTCAGACCACTGTTGATGGGCCAGTTTCCTGGGGACAATTGTGCAGGATAAAGGGGGGGGGAAGGGTTTGATTTCTCTTTAAAAAGTAGATTCTCTTTCTCTTCTTGAATACACCGGACATTGACTGGGAGCTGAACTGTAATGCAAATAGAAAAATTAGCACATTCCTAATTTCTGTGAAGGCTTAATTACCCACCAGTTGGTAGGAAAGAAGGAACTGTTTAAGTCAACACCTTCAACCTTAATTATATGAAACAACAGTTACCATGATTGTTAAGTAGGAAGTCTAGTGATGAAAATTAAATTAGAACTAACTTCTAAGAAAGTGATAGATCATATCCATGAGAGGAGCCAGGTTTATATCTAGAAGAATGGCCAAAGACATGATTCCTTTATTATAAACAACATTGCCACTGCTGTCCCAGCTAATAAACACTCTTTTGAAGCAAGAGACGGTCACCCAAGCCTCTAATAGTGTTTTCTCTAATAGTCTAACATTAGAAATCGAGTATATATATATATATGCTTTCTCAAATCCTAAAAGCAGGTCACCTTATATTTTAATAAGGAATTTTTTTAAGGAATAAACAGCTTTGAAATTATATGTATTGGAGATGTGTGCTGTTAAGTACATTTGCATTAAATTTCCATTAAGAATTCATGTTTAAACATACTTGGTTTTCAAAAAGGGCTTAAGACCTGCAATTTTGCAATCCCTATGCAAGTTCTGGTGAAAATGGCCCTTCTCACCCACATTTTAACAAGATCCCTGGCTCCATCCAGTTGCCAGGTGGAAGAGGAAATCCATCCTGGGATGTTTAGCACATTTCATTCTGAATCCCCCTGAGACGATGCCACAGGGAAGCTGGCAGCAACACAGTTGTAAACTATTATGAACTGGTTGTAGTTCTCAGCCACTAAATACTGAGGTGGTTTGTTATAAAAGAGTGGCTAAGGAGAACCTCCCCACTCCAGCCTATCTTACCTTCTTCCACATTCATGTCCTTAAGCTTCTTCCTTTAAAGCAACAACGAAAACGGTTTAATTGAGGCATAATATGTAGTGAATAAACTACACATTTTTTATATCTTTTTCCACTCTTCAGCACTACACATGTTTAAAATATGCAACTGTAAAAAAATAAAATGTATGATCTGATAAGCTTTGATGTAGAAACCAAAAGAACAAACTTTGCCTCCAAGCTGAGTTTATTAACTCGTAACAGTACTCCCTCAGGTTTCCGAGGATTTAATATCTGCAGGAAAATGCTGCCTCACCTTTTCCCTGTGGGTTCAAATTGCAGGCCTTTGACTTAGCAGCCAATACTTTCTTTTCACTCTTTTTAGTAGATACACTTATAAAATCAAGAGAAGATACATATCCATTTTATGTTTTCAGCATCATTGTTTGTTTGAGGGTTCACTTTGTCCACATCCCGAACAAAACAGATTAGCTTGAATTTCTTTTGGGCTTTTTAAAAATATTTATATTTATTTATATCAGGCTTTTTAGTAAATATGTGATAGTATTTCAGTGTGACTTTAAAAATCACTTCTGTAATATGTAATGTTGAAAGAAGACTTGTTGGTGGGAGTGTAAAATGGTGCAACCCCTGTGGAAAGTAGTATGGCGCTTTCTCAAAAAGTTGCAAATAATTTTTATTTATTTTATTTTTTGTGTGTACCGTCAAATTGGACCTGACTGGTACAGGAGGCGATTGTTCCTCCTTCTTCAGCAGAGCATCTGGTGGATTTGAACCGCGCACCTCTGGGATTGCAGTGCAGTTTCCTGCCACTAGGCCACCAGAGCTCGCCAAAAAGTTACAAATAGAGATACCATTTGACCCAGCAATTCCACTACTGGGAATATACCCTGAAGAGACCATAGCTGACATCCAAGCAGATATATGCACACCCATGTTTATTGCAGCTTTGTTCACAATAGCAAGGAGTTGGAAACAACCTAAGTGCCCATCAACAAACGAATGGCTAGAGAAGCACAATGGAATACTATGCTGCATTAAAAAACAAGGAACTCATGCAATATTATTCAAAATGGTTGACTCTGGAGACCATTATGCTGAGTGAAATATCCCGGTCACAAAAGGACAAATATTACATGATGCCACTGTTGTAGAATGGGACTAGCCTTGGGGTTGGGGAGAGACTGAGTAAGATGGGTTCAATAATGTATACTGCACTGAAACAGAGGAGGGAGAAAACTGTTTAAAAGAGATATATGACTAGGTATTTCTGTCATCACAGGAGTCTAGAGCGAGGGCTACATGGTGGAGGGGACCTGGGGGAGGGTTTGTAAAACAATGAAAGAATCCTTTCTTTTAATTTTCCATAATTTTTGACTCATGTACTTATAACTTGTTAGTCAAATTTGTGTCTTCTAGGTTGCAACACCCCCATGATACATCTTCAAGGATATGAACATATACGGCCAAGCACAATTAACAACAGTGCATCTAAATTCCAAAATCAATCTCCATAATAGTCTATGTGTTTCCTACTGCCAAAGGGGCCCTTTAGAGTAGTGAGAGAAGATCTTCACCCTGAAACCCACAGCGTCCCTTTTCAGCAGGAAGTAGCTAAGAGAATACGCCATCCCCTTTTCCTTATGACTCAGGGTGAAGTCTCTCTCAGGGAGGAGTGATAGGGAATGGCAAAGGACACACCGACAAAGGAGATTAATCAGAACTGACTTTGACAAGCACTGTGGCAATTGGACAATTAAAACAGACATTATGGCGGGGAAGAAGAACAAACTGGGGAGGAGGGTGGAGAGAATGGTGCGGCAATGAAGGAGTGAAAGCCCAGAATCCCTGTGAATGTTCATTGAAACTAATACAAAAAAAAAAAAAAGAATTGTTAACAACCAGCTATAAACAGATGACACAACCCTGCTTGTAGAAGATGAAGGATTGAAGCACTTATTGATGAAGCTTAAAAAGACTGCAGCCTTCAGTGTGGATTACCCATCAAC